AATAATGAGCTGGTTGAAATGAGCAGTTCTCTAGAGCTAATGAAAGCCTTTTAAATAAATGTTTAGTCAGCGTGTACATATACAAAGACAATGTGACACTGTAGTTTTCTCTGGACCCCTGCCAAATCTGACCAGTGATGACATGTATAGTCGCATGTCGTCATTCCGCCGCTGGTTGTCGAGGTGGTGTCCAGCAAACGATGTGGGCTTTGTAGATCATTGGCAGACTTTCTGGGGAAGACCTGGTCTGATCCGGAGAGACGGCATCCATCCCACTTAGGAAGGAGCAGCTCTCATTTCTAGAAATCTGGCCAAGTTTATTAGTGGACCAAATCCATGACAACCCAGAGATGAGAGCAGGAGGCAGAGTCCCAGTCTAACACTTGAAGTCCACTCAGTTAGTGCGTCGTGTTATGGCTATGCCAAGCTTTTGTTCAGTCATAAAAGTCATACTGTAGCCCAGACAGTAAGTGCTACAGATGCCAAACTCACAGGGTATGTAGAGACCCCTGCACAAAAATTCACACACTTCCACCTCTAGGAGGCGCTACAAGCAAGATAAACGCGTTTGGCCTTGGAACTCCCACATACGAAGTCGCGCATCAAAAACCTTATATCTACGCATTCGGGGAACTCACCTGAATCTCGTGGTATAGGCCATGTCCATTTCCAGCTATAATATTTATCTGCAAAATTGCGAACACTGAAAAACCTTTGAAATAATAACTCCTCTAAAGCAGCTAGTCCGATCGGCACCAAACTTGGTACGAACCATCTCTGGGCGATGCTGACAAAAGTTAGTGGTCCTCATTTGGATATATAGAAAAAGTTAAACATGTACGTTCCTGTACATAGCATTCTGAACAGGAAATTGTTGCCTATCTTCACGTGGTTAGTCACATTCAAACCAAACTTGGGACATTACTTCCCATTGGAGACCCAAGGACCTGTATGAAATTTGGTGTCAGGCCACTAGGTGGCGCTGTTATATCTTGTTGAATTTATTCCAAAAAAGACCCCCTCAGACATACATTCATTTTATATCTCCATAACCTCAAGTCCCTTTAACATACAACTCAGGTCATTTATTCATCATGAGCCCCTGTAGGCCATTTGCAAAATTTGATGCAATTTGAACAATAGGTGGCACTGTTATTGCAAACTGAATGGTGCATGAAAATCAGGTTACAAGCTGCTTTAAGATGAAGCAGCAACAGAAGGCAGGCTAAATCAGCTTAAATAAGGAGCCTTGTATGGATTTTGCCAATGAGTATTCAGCCGAGCTGTCAGCTGATACAGCCGGCTTTGATATGGGCTGTATGAGCCCTAAGCTGGTTTTGACAGATTTAGTCCTTGTTTTGGTTTGAAGAAGGTCTTTGTTTTTTAAAGATATCTTTGGGCATTTCTGACATTATTTTGAGACATAGGACAGTGGGTAGCGATAGGAAACAGGGAGAGAGATAGGGGGACATGCAGCAGAGGGCCACATACAGGACTTAAACCCGGGCCGCTCCAGAAAGGACTCAGCCTTGTAAAAGGGGTGGGCACTCCACAAAGTGAGATAATGACACTCCAGAAGTAATCTTTGTGAGACCTGCAGTGGCCTGAACAGGCACTGACCATGTGATGTTTGAGATGTATGTGCAGGTTACTACTGAGAGCTCAAGTCTGATCCCCTTGTTTGTTATTGTCTGTTCTTCTAGAATCAGTCAGATGGCGAATTTGCTACAGATGGTTTCTTCCATCTGCCTTCCATCTCTGTTAGAAAAACAACTGACCAATTACAGCTTTGTAGGCAGGATTAATGATGGAAACATTTTCTTCCTTGGCCTGAGTCTGAAAAATACAGCTGATAGGTCAGATACTGGACTGACACGTCACTAACCGCTGATTGGTTTGAGAAAAGGAAACAAAATCATCCTTCCAAACAGAAACCGACTAACGTAAACATGTTTCACTGATTAATAAAGTATTGCGAATTGTGATTTGAGATAAAACAACAAATAGTTATCAGCAGGTAACAACTAAACTCCAGTGGTGTGTTGACAACTTGTCTATAGCAAAGATGCATGACTGACAAAAAACACAACTGTCTTAGTTTGATATTGTTTGAAATGACGTGTGCTTCAAAAGTATTAGCCAGTACAGCAGTTCTTTAGCTTAACTCAGTATCATATTTTCAGCTTTTCAGAAAGATTGATAAAAGAGACCCTTCATGGCAAAAACATCTGAGCGTTAGTGGAACAGAAGTTAACTGTTCAGCTCTCTACAAATCCAGTGACAGTCTGTCAGTTCTGAACATGTACGTGTATAAGCTAGGTTGCTAAGCAATACAAAGTACTGACACTTGAGCTGAAACATATTTATTAACAGACTCTATTCCTATCTTTGCCTAAAGCTTTAGTCACGCTAATGCTTACTTGATGAATTGGCATTTTATTATTATGTACATTATTTGGATTGCTGTGTGGCGGGATAATTGTATCACACTCATTCAGAAACTCATGATGCTTGATAAATGCCAGGCTTCTGCTTGCACAGTCTGGCTGTGCTATGAAGTCAGTGTGTAGCATGCTACCATAAGAATGCGTTCTGATGTCTCTGGAAACCCACGTCACACCAGATCAAATCACTTCCCCTCCCCCAACTCTATTTTTAACAATATGTTTCTTCACATTTTCTCTCTTCCCAAAGAAGTTTGCGTGCTGTGTCTTGCACGCCACAGATGATTTGACTTCATCTGCCGTGACATCATAGAGGCGTGATGTCAGAGTGTGTGTAAATGTTGAGGCTAATTCACCGCTTGGGCCACTAATAGAAAGTCCGATCTGTGCTTCAACTTTAAACAAAAGAAACTGATGTTATGCTGTAATGCTGTATCTTTTCTAACAAAATCCTATGAATATTTTATTCAGTGGAGTAAGGCAGTGTGTCTTTGCTCAGCTTGTCTGCGGGAAATTGAACTCTCACGTGTCAATGTCTGACTGAAGGCTTCAGTGTGTCAATCCCAGTGAATGTCAGATACTGTAATATTGTCAGATACACATGTAATTATGTCCCAGAGGCAAAGAATTATCAAAATGTAGTTGAATCAAGCCTTTAAAAAATACATAACATGTTTAATGAGTAAAATAAGTACAACTAAATTGAAACTGGGTAGTTACAAGGGCGATCAGAGCAGCCACAAATGTTTTTAGGGACAGAGTTTCACAAGGACTTGGTCCTCGACATTGGAGATGGGAGGTGGGTCATAAGGAGCACGATGGTGGAGAAGGTGGGAGATGTAGTAGGGGACCCGGTTGGGAGTGAGGAGGAGTTTGAACTGAATCTGTTGCAGGGAGTGGAGCTGAGAGTCACAGAGGCGATCTTATGTAACTTTTGTTGAATAGTGGCCCCTGCGTCCACAAGTATTGATTACTTGTTAGTGGTCAATTCTATAATGTAGTGTAACAGTAGCACAAGTAGGCAAGTGTCATAAAGTGTGCTAACATTAACCGCCACAGGCTTGCTGGTCACACCAGCTGCTTCAGCTGCAAAACCTCTCAGTGTCTTGAACTGAGCAAGGCTGTGTTTTATTGCTAATGAAAACAACTTTTTATTTCTAAAAGAATGACTGTGCTACTTCTTCTTTCAAAATTACACAGTCCTTTCTCAAGTAAATTCCAACTCTTACCTGAGCTGTGTGAGTATCTTCTCCTCTGTAGCCAGGTAGTGGATCCTCTCCTCCTCCATCGCAGCTCTCCGTCTGTACGCTGCCTCCTCAGACTGAGCCAGCTGACTGCACATCAACACCACCAGCTCCTGACCTGCCATCCGCAGCATCGAGCTCACACTCTCCTGGTTTGACAGCTGGAACAAATGAAACAACTCAGGAATTAGGATTCAGCAACTGTGCTTTTTTGCTTAGCTACTGGTGAGGCCTGAGGGAAGGCAGTGTTGGTTGGTCGGTCTGCCCTCCAACACTTGGGTCCAAAGTAGATCAACTATTGGCTTCATTGCCATAAAATTTTATGTGGATTTTATTGTATGCTGAGGACAATTGTGATCCAACACTGTGTATAGCTGATATCTCAGACATGTGCTCAGCATTCATGGAGATCTTTCCTAAAGTTTTTGGTAACTCCCTGACAGCAATCCCATCTGTTAGGAGTGTGGTTTTGTGTTCATGTCTTTCCTGTTTAAGTCTGTTTTTGGTTCTGTGTTTCTCTGTGTAGTCTTGTTCAGTTCTTAGTTTTGTGCTTTAGTTCATGTTAGTGTTATTCCTGGTCTGTGTATTTCTGTGTTTCATTATTTGATCTTATCTTAAGGGTTGTAGCTTAGTTTATTCTATGTTTATCTGCATGTTTTGCACCTGTCCGAGTCCTTAGTCCTGTGTTTCCATGTTTTAGTGTAGTCCTGTCTCCTGTTTGGTCCGGTCTATTGTACAGTATTTCCATATTTTGTGTTTTACTTTGGTAGATCTGTCCTGGTGTGTTCCCGTGCACTTTACTTCCCGTTTTATTTTGTAATCTTCCGTGCCTGGTCGTGTTGTCTAGCTTTGCTTCCTGTTCTGTTCTCCTTAATGTGATCCACCTGTTTTATGTTCCTGCCCCACTCGTTTGCCTCACCACTTAATGCCTGTGTTCTGTTCCGTCTGTGTTGGATCATTGTGGTTTGTCATGTAGTTTGTGTTTGCTTTGCTCCTGTTCCCAAGCTTCTTGTGGATCTTTGGTTCTAAATGGATTTCTTGTTTTTTGTTGGACTTGTATCTGCCACCGTTTTTGTGAGTACGCCTTTAGTTGAATAAATATTGAACTGAATCTGCTCAGCTCTGGTGTCCTGCGTTTGGGTCCTTAACTAGCTCACACACTGCAAACCTTAACACCATCAAGCCAAACATTTACACAGAAGCGATACAAATATATAATGGACAGATTGCCATGAAATGGACTGAATACTTTTATATGCCTAACTCTCAACAAACTTTGCTTTGTGCCTCGCTGAACCCAAAATGTTTTTGTTGCATGCACCTGACTGTTAGCTTGTGGGAAGCTAACAGAGGTGTGTGTGTGTGTGTGTGTTTTAGCTGGCAAAAACTTTGTTTACATTATCCTGTTCACACCTATTCACTAAGCCATGCCCACTTTTGAATGATCCAATCACATCTTAATTTGGTTTAAATCCTTGTCATAACTAAACCCTGCTCACATACTGTGTGCCTCAGGTGCTCTTACTGCCCTGTCACTGTGTACCACGTATTGTCTGTGCTCCCAATGAATGTGTATTATGATGTATTTGTTACTGTCAGTCAGTTTCAGGCTAACACAAATGTGTCATCACATCACTGGAATACCCAACCTTGTCTATAATGTGTACTCTTCTTCCCATATTAACTTCAGTGTAATTAGCGAGTACTCCCGTCAGTACCTGTAAGAGTCTGAGCTGGTTGAGTTGGAGTCGCAGCTCGCACCCTTTCTCTTTGCCAACACCAAGCTTGGCCGCAGGCCGCTGCCAGAGGGTGGGGCCTGTAGAGCCAGAGGGGCGGGGCTGATGGCATCAATCAAAGCAGTGGGGTTCTGAGGCTCAGCAGACACTCCTGTAGGTTGACGAAAGGCGATTTTAAGGTTATCATCTTGTTCAGGGCATAATAAATGTGTTGTTGGTGGTAATCACAATCTTTATTAATGTAGAAGAAAAAATTCTCACCAGGTCTGTTGAGGAAGAGTTTGAGTCCAGCAGTTTCACTAAAAAGACACACAGATAGTTACATCATAAACCTAACCATCCCTCTAGCCGTGGATTATACAGTATATAGAACTCATTTCATGCTCCCTGGATGGGAGAAATACGGTTGGCACACGTATGTGTGAGGGACGCCTGTGTCTGTGAAGCGCATGGGTGAAAAGCGAAGGGCAAGGCAGTGTGACGTGTACCGTCACTACGGTTAAGAATGTGCTTCGACTGCCATACCAATGAGCCTGGCTCTTTGGTGTCGAGTCAAGTTGCATGTTTGGTACCCTGTAGACCTGGGTTCCAATCTGGCTGCTTTTGCTCTTCGCCACAACTTTCCATACTATTGATGGGTACACATATTGTGGATGAAACATATTGGAATTAAATTGCTGCTGCTGCTGTATAAACTCCTGTTGACTTAAAGGGATAAAGGCAGATGTTACAGACCTGACAGCCTCCTTGACTCCTGGAAGATCTGGTCCCATAGAGAGAGCATGGTGCACCAGACCTGCTAGACTGGCTATCTGCTCCTCCATGGCTTTCATTCTCTCACTTCCATAGAACAGAAACACATGCATCAATCACATAACAATTATACTAACCATCATGAAGTGTTGTCACACATGTCTGCAGAAATTGGTAGTTCGATAATGTCTAACTCATATGATGTGCTGTTTACAATTGTTTATGGATCTTTACTCAAATAATAATTCTACTAATAGAGAATCTCTGTCTGTATCAATGTAAGCATTAACCCACGCTTCCAGTTGATTCCAATCAGCAAATGCTTTTATTTTCTTGCCTGCGTTTGATGTTTAATATAACATGTATTACAAAGATGAAGGTTAAAATCAAGGGCAACTGGACTTGGTTGAAGATACTGGAAGACGTTTCGTCCCTCATCCAAAGGACTTCTTCAGTTCTGACTGACTGGCAGGGAAACTCAGCTATTTAACCTCAGTGGGGTCGTTTGCCAGGATTGTTGATACCGCTGGTTCGTTAGAGTTCCTGGTTGCTGTAACGACAGTCATTACAGTCGTTAGGACTAACGGTGGCCAAGACTGAACGGCCATCGTTATTATCTTCACCTGAGGCCAATAGGTTACGTTTGTTGAGTTTCCTGGGAAGTGATGAAAGGACAGCATTGTAAGTGGGGGATAAGTGGTGGCGTAGACCCCTCCTCTGTTTAATGACGGTTTCTCGACCCTGGTGTAGATGGTTCCTTGACATCTCTTCAAACCATCCATCTTCTCTGTCTAAAATGTGCACCTGGTGGTCCTCAAAGAGTGTCCTCTGTCCTTCAGATGTAAGTAGACTGCAGAGTCTTGACCTGAGGAGTTGGTCAAACGCAACAACACTGTGATTCCATACGTGTCTGGAGTATCAGAGAAACTCAGGATTTTCAACAAACACAACATCCCTGTGTTTTTTAAACCCAAGAACACACTAAGACAGATGCTGGTCCACCCCAAAGACCGCACACCCAAACACAAGAAAAGCAATCTAGTGTATGCGGTCCAATGCAGTGAGGAATGCACAGACCTGTATATTGGGGAGACTAAACAACCACTACACAAACGCATGGCTCAACACAGAAGGGCCAACTCCTCAGGTCAAGACTCTGCAGTCTACTTACATCTGAAGGACAGAGGACACTCGTTTGAGGACCACCAGGTGCACATTTTAGACAGAGAAGATGGATGGTTTGAAAGAGGTGTCAAGGAAGCATCTACAACAGGGTTGAGAAGCCGTCATTGAACAGGGGAGGGGGTCTACGCCACCACTTATCCCCCACTTACAATGCTGTCCTTTCATCACTTCACAGGAAACTCAACAAACGTAACATATTGGCCTCAGGTGAAGATACCAACGATGGTCGTTCAGTCTTGGCCACCGGTAGTCCTAACGACTGTAATGACTGTCGTTACAGCAACCAGGAACACTAACAAACCAGCAGTATCAACAATCCTGGCAAACAACCCCACTGAGGTTAAATAGCTGAGTTTCCCTGCCAGTCAGTCAGAACTGAAGAAGTCCTTTGGATGAGGGACGAAACGTCAGTATCTTCAACCAAGTCCAGTTGCCCTTGACTTTAACCATCGTTGGATGAATATCATGCTGTATAGAAGACTTGAAACTGAGACCATAAACTCATTAGGAAAGTGTTTAATGAGGTAATAAATCAAGTGGGAAATATGCCTTTCAATGCATTTCAAATGTTTTTTCTTATTTTTGCAGGGGTCGCCCTCTGCTGGCCGTTAGAGAGAATGCATGTTAAGTTACTTCCACATTGGCTTCACTCGTGAGAGCCGTAGGTTGTCACTTAGTGGTGACAAACTTGTAAAAACATTTCTCCATAGCACTACTAGTGGTGGAAAAACTACAGACTTAGGCGCTACTGTAATGTTTGTGAGTCAACAGTGAATACAGACAAAGAAATTCTCACAAGTATCTAATTTTGGAGGACTTTTGTAGTTCAGGCAAGTTTGAGGTTGAGCTTTCCTGTGTTGAACGCTGTTAGACTACTTGAAGATATCCTTCAGGGAGACAAGTTGATCTACTCTTCATTTAGTATACACCCTGTAAAGTGCTTATAATGAAGTAAAATGATTACTCTGGCTCTCAGCTAACCTTTGGGCATTGCTGGCACTCACGTGACCCTCAAAGAGTCTCTCAGGTTGGCCCAGAGGGCTGTCCACAAAAACAGACGAGGTGGAGGACGACGAGCAACTTGTTCTGCTTCTGTTTACAACCTCCACTGTGGCCCCGTTACTGTCCCACCGCAGGGACCGGCGAATCGGTGACATCCTCTCTGGAGGCACTAGGCCCACCCCTCCAATTATCTGCCCATCAACCATCCTGACTTCACTGACTCTGTGAGGGGAAGAGGGCGGTGTTTTGGTTCCCAGCGGAGGAAGCTGGCTTTCTCCATACTTCCTGCTCATCTGCCTGTATGGTAGAAAAAGACAATGGATGGCTTCATGTACACCTGGGGCCTCATTTATAAAACTGTATGTAGAAAAGGTTGCATATGTACAAAATACAGGAAATGTATACAAACAAAAATAATACTACTAATAATAAAACACTGCCTACACCGATTTCCCTTTATAAATCCATTCAACTTGAAATGTGGCGTATGTGAGCCAGCTCCTTGTCCGACCCTTTAAACGCCCATAGTTGCCTAGAAATGGTCAGTGAAACGCCCCTCATTAATATTAATACGTGCTGACTGCAGTAAGAAAAGGAGGCAAACTCTGAAAGAAAAGCTACAAAAAGAAATTTAACTCTGTGTGACTGACGTTCTTTTTGGTGAAGCTGAAGCATGTTGTTTGGTGGTTAAATAACGCACTTTGATGCAATGCTTGTGCACCAGAGGAAAGGGGACACTGGAGCTCCACCCCCTCATAACCGATCTGCAGGAAGGTGCATCCCTCCTGAGAAGTGACAGAGGTGAAAGGGGACACATACATGCAGTACAGGATGACCCAGGTACTAATTTGGAATCCCCCATTTGAAAAGATCGTAAACCAAATGCATTCTGCTTGTGTTTAAACATTTATTTAGGCGACGCTGAGTTAAAAGAAATATGACTTGTTTTATGTGCCAGACAGCGGCACACTGAAAGATCTACTGAATTAACAGCGTTATATTTTCCATAACGTTTTTACAAGCAGCGCATCACATCTACACGCTGCGCACAGTGTTTGGCTCGATAAGGCAATGAACATGTGATAATACATGAAAGTACGCACTTTATTTGCTCAACTGACGCAACAAAAACTGTATCAGTGCTGCTTCCTTTAGGCAATATTATCAGGAAACACTGCATAAACTTTCATTGTTATGCAGATGATACTCAGTTATATCTATCGATCAAGCCAGATGAAACTCATCAGTTAGCTAAACTTCAAATGTGCCTTCAGGATGTTAAAACCTGGATGACCTGTAATTTTCTAATGTTAAACTCAGATAAAACTGAAGTTATTGTTCTGGGGCCCAAGCACCTCCATGATGCATTATCTAAAGATATAGTTTCCCTTGATGGCATCGCCCTGGCCTCCAGCACCACTGTGAGGATTCTTGGGGTTATCTTTGATCAGGACATGTCGTTTAAGTCTCACATTAAGCAAATTTCAAGGACCGCCTTTTTTCACCTACGTAAGATTGCGAAAATCAGGAACATCCTGTCTAAAAATGATGCAGAAAAACTAGTCCATGCATTTGTTACTTCTAGGCTGGATTACTGCAATTCCTTATTATCAATCCATTAAGACTCTTCAGCTGATCCAGAATGCTGCAGCACGTGTTCTGACAGGAATCAGGAAAAGAGATCATATTTCTCCTGTTTTAGCTTCTCTGCATTGGCTTCCAGTAACATCCAGAATAGAATTTAAAATCATTCTTCTTACCTACAAAGCTCTTAATGGTCAGGCACCATCTTATCTTAAAGAGCTCATAGTACCTTACTACTCCACCAGAGCACTGCGCTCCCAGAATGCAGAGTCTCCAAAAGTAGAATGGGAGCCAGAGCGTTCAGCTATCAAGCTCCTCTCCTGTGGAACCAGGTTCCAGTTTGGGTTCAGGAGGCAGACACCGTCTCCACATTTAAGAGTAGGCTTAAGACTTTCCTCTTTGATAAAGCTTATAGTTAGGGCTGGCTCAGGAGAGTCCTAAACCATCCCTTAGTTATGCTGCTATAGGCCTAGACTGCCGGGGGACTCCCCATGATGCACTGAGCTCCTCTCTCCTCTACTTTCTCTCCCTCTGTATGCAACCTCATCCCATAAATGCATTTTACTAACTCGACTTCTTCCCTTTCCCGTAGTCTTGTGCTTTCTCGTACCTCTCCTATCTCCTCCTATCACTTCCTGCAGGTGTTTCTGGCTCTGGAGATGTGGAGTCTGGATCTGTGGTTGCGAGTCACCTGCGTGTTCCTGCTCGACACCCTCTGCTACAATTATTGTTACTAGTCCTATTATTATTATCATTAACATTACAATTATTAACTTGTACGTGAGTGCAGCCAGGTTAGATGGGGTTTACATATCACAAAGTTTTTGCAACAAGTTATTGAACAGTTACATTTATCCAATGGGTTTCACTGACCATCATTTACTCAGTTTAGATTTTTACATCTCACCAACTACTAAAAGCAGCTCTTATTGGCACTTTATTGGCATGCCGTGGAGTTTTATAGTGCCCTTTTCAGAGTGGAGGACTGCAATAAAAAGTGTGTGGACAAGCTGATGCAGGGGCTTCCTCAAGGGTTCTGAAGACAGCTGTCCTGGATGCCAACATCTCCCTGGAAGAGCTTACTGCTCCAGTGGGTCAGATGGCTTCTGGTGAAGCTCCTGGACTGGATGGATTACCTGTTGACTTTTACAAACACTTTTGGAGATGTTTAGGAGCCGACCTGCTGGAGGTTCTCCAGGAGTGTTCCGAGACAGGATTGTTGCCAGCTACTTGTCGGCACGCGGTGCTTTCATTGTTACCAAAAAAAGGAAATCTGGCACTACTTAAGAACTGGAAACTAGTGGCTTTGTTATGGACAGACTATAAACTTTTTTCAAAGGTGCTAGCCAATAGACTTAAAAACTATCTGGACTTAATTATCCACAGAGATCAGTCATACTGTGTGCCAGACAGATCTATTATGGATAATTTGTTTTTTATGAGAGAGTTATTGGACGTTTGTAAAATATATGTTGATGTAGGCATTGTATCATTGGATCAGGAGAAAGCGTTCGATAGGGTTGACCACGGTTTTCTTTTTTCAAAGGTGCTAGCCAATAGACTTAAAAACTATCTGGACTTAATTATCCACAGAGATCAGTCATACTGTGTGCCAGACAGATCTATTATGGATAATTTGTTTTTTATGAGAGAGTTATTGGACGTTTGTAAAATATATAATGTTGATGTAGGCATTGTATCATTGGATCAGGAGAAAGCGTTCGATAGGGTTGACCACGGTTTTCTTTTTTCAAAGGTGCTAGCCAATAGACTTAAAAACTATCTGGACTTAATTATCCACAGAGATCAGTCATACTGTGTGCCAGACAGATCTATTATGGATAATTTGTTTTTTATGAGAGAGTTATTGGACGTTTGTAAAATATATAATGTTGATGTAGGCATTGTATCATTGGATCAGGAGAAAGCGTTCGATAGGGTTGACCACGGTTTCTTTTTTCAAAGGTGCTAGCCAATAGACTTAAAAACTATCTGGACTTAATTATCCACAGAGATCAGTCATACTGTGTGCCAGACAGATCTATTATGGATAATTTGTTTTTTATGAGAGAGTTATTGGACGTTTGTAAAATATATAATGTTGATGTAGGCATTGTATCATTGGATCAGGAGAAAGCGTTCGATAGGGTTGACCACGGTTTTCTTTTTTCAAAGGTGCTAGCCAATAGACTTAAAAACTATCTGGACTTAATTATCCACAGAGATCAGTCATACTGTGTGCCAGACAGATCTATTATGGATAATTTGTTTTTTATGAGAGAGTTATTGGACGTTTGTAAAATATATAATGTTGATGTAGGCATTGTATCATTGGATCAGGAGAAAGCGTTCGATAGGGTTGACCACGGTTTTCTTTTTTCCACCTTAAGAGCTTTTGGGTTTGGGGATGGTTTTATGTCACTGCTTGGTTTGATGTATAAGGAAGCTTTTTGTTTGTTGAAGGTGGGTGGTGGGTTGAGCTGTCCAGTACAGCTTCAGAGAGGTATCAGGCAGGGATGTCCAATTTCTGGACAACTGTATTCATTAGCTGTTGAGCCGCTTCTCAGTAAGCTGAGATCCAGGTTGTCAGTTGGAGTTTGAGAGGAAGAATTGGGAGGGTGTTTTGGAGAAAGTGTGCACCAGACTGTCTAAATGGAAATGGATGCTACCTCAGCTTTCCTATAGGGGAGGGTCTTGATCATCAATAACCTGGTTGCCTCAACCCTATGGCACAAGCTGACAGTCCTACCTCCACCAAGGGATCTGATTGGAAGAATCCAGAGAGCCGTTGTGGATTTTTTCTGGTCGGGCCACCACTGGCTGAGGGCAGCGAGATTGTACTTGCCGGTACAAGAGGGAGGACAGGGCTTGGTGGACATTACATCATGCATTACAGCCTTCAGGCTACAGATGGCTCAGACACTGCTATACAGCTTTGGGCTACCATGGACAGACACTGCCGTTTTGCTGCTGAGGAGGGCCGAATAGGATATGATAAACATCTGTTCCTAATTCAATCCCAGCTCATGGATCTAACTGGTCTGACACCCTTCTACAAATCTGTTTTACAGGCATGGCAGGTGTTCACCTTCCAGTGGAAAACAGCGATGATAACAGGGATGTGGCTGTTTGAGGAGCCATTGTTTGGGAACAGTTTTATTACCTCTCAGGTTCTTTCATTGAGCAATCTGAGATCTAGACTGAGAGAGGGGGATGTGTCAAACTGGGACATTTTATGAAAACCTCTATTCCTCATTTGAATGTACAACTCAGCATCAGATCCAGCAAACTGCTGCTTAGGCTGGTGTAGGAGGTTTGTGCTTCCCTGCCGGAAGTCATTAGAGCATTTGCTGAAGATCGTATGCTCTCTGGCCAATGGGATGATGAGTGTGAGTATGTTTTTCCTTCTCTGGTTGTCTCTCCTGTGGTGGAACAGTGGCAGGAGGAGCAGGACGCCCTGCTGTCTCTAAGAACACCAGAGTTGGGGGAATTTGAGGCATTGGGAAAGAAAGCAGCCTACCAGATCAGCACCAAGGTCTTGAACTTATGCGCCCTGACAGGAGTAAAGGTGTCGAGGTTTTTGGCGTGGGATTATCCCCAAGGGGCTGTTGGCGGTCCCTGTATAAACCTCCCGTTGAAAAACGGACATGTGACCTTCAGTGGAGGATCATACATGGGGCCATAGCTACTAACAGGTATCTGGTACACCTTAATCCTGGCACAGGGGACGGCTGTCCATTCTGTTCACAGACAGAAACCATACATCATCTTTTTATTCAGTGTTCCAGATTGGTTGGACTTTTCAGCCTACTACAAGAGTGGATTCAGGGGTTAGGGGAGCACTGCTCTTTTAGTCTTTTTAACTATGGTCCACGGTACTCTAGACAAAAAAAAACCTGTACATACACTGACAAATTTTATTTTGGGTCTGGCCAAATTGGTCATTTGGAAAACAAGGAAAAACCATGTGAGGGGTGAGTGGTCAGAAGACCTGGTTCTGATGCTGACTGGGCTGCTGGCGGCTCGGCTCAGGGTGGAGTTTGAGTTTTACAAATTGACAAATAAGATGGAAATTTTTGTGAATGTTTGGGGGGTGCAGGGTGTACTGTGCTCAGTCATAGAGAACTGTTTGGCTTTAAATTTTTGATTTTGTTTGGTAGTACCTCTGTCGAATTAAGTCATCTTCTTTTCCTCTCCGGATACTGGTAACGTTCTGTACGTGGAATTACTAACTGAGAATAAAAGTTTGTGTTAAATTGACAAATATATCTCTCTCTTTTTCTCCCTTTTCACTCCCAACCGGTGGAGGCAGATGGCCGCCCACCCTGAGCCATGGTTCTGCTCGAGGTTTCTGCCTCTTAAAAGGAAGTTTTTCCTTGCCTCTGTCTCCTAGTGCTGCTCTTGGTGGGAACTGTTGGGCTTCTGTAAATAACATCACAGAGTACAGTCTAGACCTGCTCTTTTATGAAAAGCGCTGTGAGATAACTGTTGTTGTGATTTGGTGCTATATAAATAAAATTGAATATCAATTTAAATGTAATTTGTCCTTCTGTTCACCTTCTTAATGAGAATAAACTACACTGCATTCTTTGCAGAAACAGATATCTCCGTTTGTGTTTATGATCCTAAATCATGTTTTTGTGTGCCTTTTTTTGCCACTTCACACAATCAATCAAACACGGGGTTGTTTATTCAGAAAGGCTTTCATCTGTTTGGCAAATGAACTAATATTATTAAATTATATTAAGTTTTATTGGCCTATAATACTCAGAGGTAATAGTTCGATTTATTTTACACAGTAGTATCCATTTCAAACGTTTCATCCTTCTGCAATGTGAGTCGCCGTTTCTCTTCTCCAGTTTACTTGCGTACACAGAGTTTGCATGGAGGACTGCACATTATCCCGTCAGATTTGTTTTTTAAAGATCACAACCTCTGCATGGGATGTGGCGTACACACGTTTCCAGCCCTGTTTTGTACACATTGTTTATAAATGAGAACCCTGGCTGCATGAACACTGGCCACATGGCCACAGTGAGGTGGGTCCCAACTTGTAGAAATACTACTACCCACATGTCTACACGTATTTATTCCAATCAATCACTACTCCAGCTGATGGCACTGATCAGTTCTTCCCAGCATCATCACCAAGGGGGATATTTACCTATCACACACATACCCATTGGGCACAATGATCTGTTACCACAATGTTTTAATTTCTTGCAGTATTTACTAAGACAGAAGTAAACGAGCTGTGGTCCATCTGGTTTACATGGTGAGTTGCTGAATAAGAACTTATGTAGGGCGTTGCACAGTTTGCTCATGTCAGTTATGGAGCAAAAAGAAAGGCAAAATGTTGTTAGCTCGGAAACAAACTCAGGGATTGAATAAAAATATCATCCAAAGTTATGACAAATCTGACAGCCCTCGTATAGTGAGTATTTAGTAGTGGTGCAGTATTCTTTACTACTGACACTGACAGATTTGTATTGTTCATATTCTTTCTACACTTCTTTTGCTATATAATGATATAAAATGCTTTTCCCAGACGTCAAATTCCAGCTTCCTCAGCTGCAGGGGTGAGTCAGCAGTGATAATCAGGTGCAGCAGCTGTCTGTGAACATTTTCATTTCCTCCTCATATATTTTGCAGCCTTAAACAGGAATACCTCAAAATACATACAGTTGTGCTGTCTTTCCTCCATTTTACCAGCAAAGTGTGGCCCTTTAATGAGTAAAGACACAAACACCCCACTGTTATGCTGCTTATATACTGTATTACTACTACAATAACTATATCATAGAGAAACAAGGCTCTTCTCATTTCTCTACTTTTGGCCTCCACTTCTCCTCTCTCCTTCCCCTCCCCCACCTTCTTGAGGAGAGAGGAGGCTTGCCGCAGGAGCTAGGAGCAACAATGCACTGGTGTATCCTTTGCGAAAGTCTTTCACAGTCTTCAAGTCTTTTCGCACTCACACTAGGCGATCCGCAGCGTGCCCGAGCACGTTTAACCCCCAAAGTCCCGGTTCATTTGACCAGTGTGACTGCTCCGTGCCCAGGCACAGGACAAGGCAACCAGGCCTAGTGTGAGTACGCCCTCAGACTCTGTGAATTATAAAAGAGGTGGGACACACACAGCTGGAATATACTGTACAAGTGTGGCAGGAGCAGGACTTTACAGTGTTCCTTCTGTTTTCAGAGTGTTGTTAGTTATTTTTAAGGTTCAAGTGTGTAAGTTTTAGTGGCGTTTATTGGTGAGGGTTGTGAATTGCAACCAGCGGCTCATGGTGCATTCACATGCACCTCGGATGGTCCCATTTCCCGAGTTGTTCTTCAGACTTCAGTGTGTTCATCCGCTCTGAAGTCGGAATGTGGTATCAACATGGATGCTACTACAAAGATGTGTTGGATTAGCATTATCAGAGCCTATAAACAACAGGCAGACATTTACTCTACATGGACAGCAAACTAACAGTCCATGTAATTTGTCCATGTTACAAATTACATGTTTGCAAAATATATATACACAATATGTGGTTTTCCATACATCAAAGTTCAGTATACTTCTTTATGTCCCATGTACGCTTTATTTCTCTTTTTGCAATAAAGATTTAAGGAGGAAAAGAAATTCTGATTATTCCAACACATGAATGCACCATCACTCACTGCTCCCCCCACCATCCCCCAAGTCTAGCCATGGCCACAGGGAGGCTGGTAAACCCGGTTCGGTTGCCTGCAGTAATTCCCAAAGGTGTGGACTGGCCTTTCTAAATTTACACACCTTACATTGAAAAAAAATTTAAAACACACTAAAGGGAAAATCTAATAGACTGGATTGGGTTTGAATCATTGTACCTGTGGAGGGAGCGGGTCTGGTGCTCCATACTCTCTCCATAGCCTGTCAGAGGTTTAATGGAGGCCCGGTACTGCTGCAGCCCCCCTGGGATCCCTGTGACCCCAGCGTCCACCATGTCTGCGGTGAGAGAGGGGGGAGCGCTGCATTGGGAGGAGACGATGCTGAGACGACCGCCTCCATCCTGCAGGGTAGAGCAGTAGGAGTCTGGGTAATGTGGTCCTCCTTCCCCACGCACCACCAGGGCCATGCTTTTACTGCTGCCAGCATCCTCATCTGAAACACACAAACACAGTCAAATGTGTTGAAGCAGACAAGTACAGATTCTCTGGGAGTTAGACCTTTAGAGCTCATTCACTCTGCATCCTCCTCCTGTATCAGCATTTACTTGGACATGAAGGTTTACGATGTTTTCATGTTCATTAAATGTGGGGATGTTGTGTATCTCTTGTCTGAATCGAGGGTCTCAGGATAGACTGAACAGATTGTAACACCCTCTGAGGCAAACTTGTAATTTGAGAGATTTGACATGACTGGCATGGCTGCCAAAAATAGCCCACATCAATTCTTTCTTTTCATCATGGAAATACATGCATGTTGTATTTTATACTCTTGTAATAATTAATCCATCACTGATCATCTCACCAGGCTTCACATCTCTCCTCTCCAGTATGGCACTGCTGTTGGTGCAGAGAGCGCTGGATCGCACCGCACCTGACAGGCGTTCCCTTGGTAAGGTGGCACTTCCTGGATCCACCAGCCCTGCCCCCCTCCCTGTATTCCCCCCACCATACGCCATCCTGGAGGGAGAGGAGGGCATGGACCGGACCATGGGTGGGGACATGGAGCCCTGCAGGCTGTGCAGGGTGCCACGGCTGGAAGAAGACAGGGTGGGGACTGGACTGTGATTGCCATACAACACCTCTTTGGAGATCTACAAAAAACAAAAAAAGTGCTTTAAAACTGCACTGATGAAATACTTTTAATTTCATATCACACATTAATTATAGATCCACTTTATCGTAAACATTCAAACCAGCAGCGTTATTTGAGCTAGTGAGCCACCATTGACAATTTGATATGATTTGGCTGTAAGCCAAATCATATCTCAAATCAATATTTCATCAGCCTGTCTCACTATCACATTCCCCCCGAAGCGCTGAGGAGGGCTGGACTGTAGCTACTGACTCGTGGTCAGGTGTGGAGCACCACAACTGCTGAAATGCCATGATGATGTTAGGGTGTGGCAGGTAGCAGGATTCAAGGAAAGTCTGGGTTGCCTTTCCTCGATACTAAGCGTCAATATACTGACTCCTTTTTACTTACAGTTAAAGTAGGGAATTCTTTAAAAAAAAATCTGTAAAATAAATCAGGTTTCTTTGGCTCCTCCTACTGCTCCTGATGCTATTTGCAAGAATCCACCACTCATTGCTCAAAACAAGCAAAACCAATCAGAGCCAGGAGCAGTCTCTAACACAGTGTCAGTCACTGCTCGTGCACACTCTGCAGCCCTCCTTCCTTGCACACACTTTCACTCAGTCAAGCTCAATTTCTTCTGCAAACACAATGTCTGAGAAACAATCAGCAACAATGAAAGAGCTGCCCATCCCTCCTGCCAACAACAGCGTATAGAACTATAGTACTGAGCTTCGGGCTCATTATGTTCGATGCCATGGCGCTTAAATCGACAAGTGGCAAAGAGTAATGATGACAAACAGTGAGGATTAACTTTTGAGGGGGGGCAGTGGTGTACTAGCCTCTCTTTCCACTGTTAGACGTTGTCACAGCTGCTAAGCGTAGGGCATCTTTGAGAAGAAGAGCCAAAGCGAGAGGGACCAAGGTCTTGGCGAGGCTCTCGTCGGGGAGAGCGAGCCATAGGGCAACCAGCTCCTTCTTGTGGGTTTGGTGGGCAGAGCTTTAGTGATAAGAGCAGCAGAGAGAGATGTGAAAGGTTTTGCACTGTTCATTTGTCACCAACTGCAGCTTTAACCAAGCTAACTGATGAAATGATCATCATCGGTTGTAGAAATCCAAGGTTACGTCAAATAGCATTGAAGAATTGAAGTCAGTAGTTTTCAATAATATCTTCTAACACTGTTCATGTATCAAGTACAGTTTTAGTTTCCATATAGTTTTTGTGTATAAAATGGCTGCAGTGAACACACACTTTGCCTTTCTCACCTCGACTCCACCCCCTGAACATGTGGACTGTGTAAATTAGCAAAGTCTGTATATAAAGCCAGAGACCTCTTTCACACAGTTGCTACACTCCATCCTCATCATCAGTCCTGATCATAATGCAGGCCAAGCACTGACATAATGTTCACTTGTCAAACCTCCATCTTCACATGATATCCCAGGGTGGTGGAGACCACTGACGTGATGGCAAGGTGTGAAGAACGGAATCTGATTGCTTTAAAGATAAATACTGCATGACACTCATGCGTAATGTTGCATGATGGATGCAGTGAAACTGCAGGGCCCACTGTAAATGGGACTACATATCACAACGTAGGCTGTTAATGATATAAAGACCAACAGGTAGAACAATTTCTTTAAACTGTCAGACCATCTGATTCTCAACAAATCCAAGAAAACCATATATTATTTTCAGCATGTGTTGTCCAACAGTTAAAATAAAGATCATTCAGAGTTCAGAGAGCAGCCTTTAGGAGGCGATCTCAGAATGAGGGACTGACTGGACCTGCATTAAGGGATGAACTTGTTACAAACAACTTGGTTCACCTCTGATGACTGCTTTTGTAATTATTGTACAGTAATAAGTGACAGTTATATACATTATTTTTGTTTGATATAAAGAGATGGACTGGCGACCTGTCCAGGGTGTACCCCGCCTTTTGCCCGATGTCAGCTGGGATTGGCTCCAGCCCCCCGCGACCCTGTAAGCGGTTGACAATGGATGGACTAACAGCTGTTTGGGGGATGAATTATTTTTTTACTTTACTGTACTGAATGGCTTATAGGTAATGTCTACCTTATCACTGCAAAGTTTTAACAAATCAAGTGCAAAATAGAAATAAATGTTTACATAGGCTACTGCATGATAAAAATGTTTTGTTATTTGGAAAATTTGGAAAGCTTTATGACATTTTGTTCCTGAATCTACCCTAAATCCAGCCTTATGTTGTTATGGGATCAGAATAATCCTGATTTTTTGGATCAAAGGATCCCAATTCTACTAAAACGTTTTGAACAACACAAACTGAAGGTTTGATACAGATCAAACCGAGGATTGGATTAGGTGATCTGATCCGATTTCAGAATCGTCTTTTTCTTTTGAACAACCCATTTTCAAGATTTGATCCAATTACTTTTCAACAACTGGGCCCTGAAGACAACGTGAATGGAAAGTGAGAGGTGTTACCCAATCAGCTGCGACGATTTTGTAAACACAGCAGTGTTAAAAATGCAGTAAAAATCAATGCGCTTGCGTACAATTTTTAAGGCACCACCGTTTCCGCTGAAATAAACGTTTTGCTATGTTTTGTAGTCACAAATACTTTTTGTTTCATTTCTTTTCAAAAGTGAAATGGTGTACATTCAAAGACAAATAATGCAAAATAATCAAATAACGAAAGAGTAGCAAACCAGCAAATTCCAGTGGTTGTTCTTGTACAATTACTTTCAACCAAAAGATACTACTACTACTTGGCAATAAAGCTCGTTCTGATTAGTGAGGTGATTTTTCTTTTGTTTGTGATCAAATATTTATTGAAATAAAACAAGACACTATTGTAGAGCACCATCATCAGCAGGCACACATAAGAGATCTATTCAGGCACTAAGGAAATGAATGTACACATACACGCATATATACATAACTATTAGAAACAAAATTCACCAAGACCTGCCCTCAACTGGCACCACTTATCTCTCTAAGGTCCTGGAGAAAGCAGTTGCTAAACAGCTGTGTGACTTTCTACAGAGCAATAGTTTATTTGAGGATTTTCAGTCAGGAATTAGAGCTCATCATAGCACAGAGACAGCACTGGTGAAAATTACTAACGACCTCCTTATTGCATCAGACAAAGGACTTGTCTCTGTACTGGTTTTACTAGATCTTAATGCTGCATTTGATACCATTGACCATCCTTCTTCTCACCTACAAAGCTCTTAATGGTCAGGCACCATCTTATCTTAAAGAGCTCATAGTACCTTACTACCCCACCAGAGCACTGCGCTCCCAGAATGCAGGGTTACTTGTGGTTCCTTGAGTCTCCAAAAGTAGACTAGGAGCCAGAGCGTTCAGCTATCAAGCTCCTCTCCTGTGGAACCAGGTTCCAGTTTGGGTTCAGGAGGCAGACACCATCTCCACATTTAAGAGTAGGCTTAAGACTTTCCTCTTTGATAAAGCTTATAGTTAGGGCTGGCTCAGGTGAGTCCTGAACCATCCCTTAGTTATGCTGCTATAGGCCTAGACTGCCGGGGGATTTCCCATGATGCACTGAGCTCCTCTCTCCTCTACTTTCTCTCCCTCTGTATGCAACCTCATCCCATTATTGCATGATACTAACACAACTTCTCCCCTTTCTGGTAGTCTTGTGCTTTCTCGTCCCTCTCCTCTCTCCTCCTATCACTTCCTGCAGGTTTTCTGGCTCTGGAGCTGTGGAGTCTGGATCTGTGGTTGCAAGTCACCTGCTGCCTGCCTGTACCTCTGTGTGTATATTGTGTAGGCTGCCTCCCTCCCCTCTCTCTCTCCTTCCTCTCTCTCTCTCTCTCTCTCTGCTTCACCCCAACCGGTTGAGGCAGATGGCCGCCCACTCTGAGCCATGGTTCTGAGGTTTCTGCCTCTTAAAAGGAAGTTTTTCCTTGCCTCTGTCTCCTAGTGCTGCTCTTGGTGGGAATTGTTGGGCTTCTGTAAATAACATCATAGAGTACAGTCTAGACCTGCTCTTTTATGAAAAGCGCTGTGAGATAACTGTTGTTGCTATATAAATAAAATTTAATTGAATAAAAAGAAATACAGTAAATAAATAATGAACAGCAAAGGCTTGTGTGATTTGATCTTAAATATCTAATGTCCACGCCAAGATCAGAAGACCTCCAAATAATTAAATAGTATAGCAAGTCCATATAATTACACTAATGTGCAGGATACCCTGAGCACAAAACTAAATTAGATTATTCCACAACAGAAAACAAACACCATGAAGGCAGAGATTCTAATCCATACTTACTAATTAAAAATACACACAGGCAAACTTTAATTCAATTACATGTTGTGGCCCACAGTACTAAAAGAAGATGTTATGTAAACAAAAAAAAGCAAGGCTGAGAGTTAGGTTTGCATATTTGCCTGGATTACATCTATTGCTTTAGACCAACTGCTCACAGCATCAACTTTAGCCCATTAAATCTAGCAGTTACTATTTGAAGCTGACACACATCCAAAAAAAAGGTATGCTAGGTTCTCTTTGTGACAATCGGGGAGGGTGAAACCAATTCTTAATAATACTTTTCTTGGCAGTAGTTGAAGCTGCTTAAATTATTAATTTCTCCTGGCAAGATACCAATAAGTTTGGGTTATAGCCAAAAAGACAGCAGGACAGCTGGGGTAGATCTTAGCAATAATAATTCCAATAGTTTTACTGATATATAGTATTCCCAGAGAGTTTTAATGGTAGGACGGAACCAGAACATATGTAAATAATCTCCTCTGACTAAGTCAGAACATTTGTTCGCTATCAGACAATTTTAATCTGAATCTGCGGTCTGGTGTGAAATAGAATCTATGCACAAATTTGTAGTGAGTTATTTGATAAGCAAGGTTTTTAGATGAAGAGAAAATGGTGTTCCAAACCTCTGGCCAATTCCAATCAAATTAAGATACTGAAAATCTTTTCCCCAACTTCTTGTTACTGTGAGTGGTTTAATATCACAAAACAAAAATGTATTATAGGCTGACGTGATGTA